GTGTTTCTTTTTCCACCCGGACGGGCGCCACATCGACCCAGCGGTTTTTGAGATCTTCCTGGACGAGCTCCCCATGCCCCAGCGGCCGCACGTGCCGCCCGCTGCTGGCAACACCGAGGTGTTCATGGATTTCTTCGAGCAGGACCCCGACAGCGCCTCGTTCCGAGACGCGATGTCGTCCGCCTACGGCGGCGTGAAGTCGATCCGAAAGATCCCCGGGTCGACGAAGGGCTACGTCAGTTTCGAGGACCAGCGGGCAGCCAAGAAGTGCGTGGAGGAGCAGGCGGGGACCTGGAGCGAGTCGGAGAGATGTACGGCCGAGAGCTCGTGGAGCAACCGGAAGTCGTGGGACCGGGGGCCGTACGGGATGGACCTGGCCAAGCTCATTATTGGAAAGAAGGGGAAGAATTTGAACGATGTTGTAGAGAAGCTGGGTGACGGCGCGAAGCTGCATTTCAACACCGATGATGGCTACGCTGCGTTCAAAGGTAAGGTCGCCAAGAGCCAGTTGACGGATTTGAGAGCTCTCCTCGCGGAGGTTCTCGCCGCCGCGCACAGTGAGATCGGCGCGAGCATGCGCCAGGTCGAGGTGGACAAAGGCCTTCCAAAAGCTTTCACTCACGATGAGGCCAGCGACTTGTTCAAAGCCTTCGGGACGATCGAATCGCTGGACCTCACGGATCCAGACCCTGACGATCCCGCAATAGCTCCGAAGGCGTGCGTGGTTTACGAGGCTTCCGAGGAAGCTCTCCGCGCGGTGAGCGACCTGCACGCAGCGATTTTTTTCGGCACCCCTCTCTCCTGCTCTCTTAGACCAGCTGGCAGCACCGACGACCGCAAAAGGTCGCAGTGGTCCAAGAGGTTTCCCGACCGTGCCAGCAGGAAGGGTTGGACCCGGCTTCGGTGGAACCAGACGTCGGACGGCGGAGGAGATAGTAGCGAGCACAATGGGCTGGGTGGCAGTGAGTATTTTGAGCCGCCAGACGCCGACAGCGGCGACAACGGGCAGCACGGAGAGGCAGCACCGGTCGCGGGCGGCAGTAGCGCCGCAGAAGATCAGGGCGAGAGCGTCTGGTTCTGCTCCTGTGGCTACCAGAACGACGAGGGTGCCCTCGTCTGCGGCGAGTTCGCGGACAGCGAGGGCTGCGGGCAGCCCAGAGACGCATGATGCGCCCTGTCGGCTCCTACAAAAAGGCAGTGGGGGAGCGCGGGGAGGAGGGGGCGACGACGCAGGTGGACGGATCCCTAGGGGCACCCTTCCAGACCGGAGCTCCCTTCCCAGACCCGGGATGCGCTACGGGTCTTCTGCCGGCCCCTTCTTGGATCAGAGAAGGGGAGGGAGAGAGAGATACATATATATATATATATATATATTAGAGGGCAGAGAGAGAGAGGTAGAGAAGTAGTGTGTGAGAGAGGAAGAGGAAGAGGAAGAGGAAGGGAGATAAAGAGAGAGAGAGAGAGAGACATGGGAGAAATAAGGGAGTGAGGGTGAGACGTGGATGTCAGTGGCCTGATCATGGCAACTGCGCATGGCTTGCCCGTCGCTCATCCCCGATTCTGCCAGGGTCGCCTGAAACCCGAGAGCCAGGGCCCGATCATCTTTCATTTGTAATCGTTCAACTCCCAGCCTTGTGTCACAATCTTGGGATTGAGCACAAGCAGGCATGCCATGAACATTTAGAATGGGCATAATTCTAGACGCTTCCCGTATCACCACCAGCCTGGACGCTGAGCCTGCACCTGAGCCAGGCGTTTCTCCGTAATGTTTTTCGCTGTTGCTTCGGCGCGGCCCGCCTTAGCTTTGCCCTGCTTTCGACTTGCTTCGCGAGCCCGCGAACCAAAAAACATCCCCACCAGCTTGTCTAGAAACGATGTCCAGGCGAGCTGAGGTGATTAGGGAAGTGCGGGGCAAACAGGGGGACGGCCGAACCATGCGAAGGAGGGAGAAGCAGGAGGCTGGATGGATGGATGAGGCAGTGAGGAGAAGGAGGATGAATAGGATGAGGAGGAGGAGGCGGAGGAAGAGGAGGAGGAGGATGAGGAGGAGTAGGAGGACCAGTGGGAACCCAAGAGTTATGAACGATGTTGGAATTAACCCTCCCTCCAAGCTCCCCCTTCATAGGCCCCTACAACGGTTCATTTCCATTGAGGGAACTGCTTCGTTGGATGACAACAGTTCGAAGACCCTGAAGCGTGCCAAAACATTGTTTTCGGGACTTCAACGCCACGTAACAACCTGACTGCTGCGTCTTGGCAATCCTGAATCGTGCCAGAACGCCATTTGTGGGACTTCGACACAGCGAATCCACATAACTGTTGCGCCCGCATGCTCCTGAATATCTCCAAAGCACCATTACTGGTACGTTGATCATGGGAACCCGCGAAACTCTTGCAAATGTTAAGAGCGAGTGTGCGCGGCGCTGAGGCGAGAGCCACATTTTGAAAAGGAGCCGCATTCAATCCGTGAAATTCTTGCAAATGTCTAAACCGAATGTGCGCGGCGCTCAGGCGAGAGCCACAGGTTGAAAAGGAGCCGCCCTCAAGATGTGAAGCTTTTGCAAATGTTTAACACGAATGTGCGCGGCGCCAGAGCGAGAGCCACATGTTGAATACCACCAGCCCTCCATCCGTGAAGCTCTTGCACATTTTCAAAACGTATGTGCGCGGCGCTAAGGCGAGAGCCACATGTTGAAAACCACCCGCTTTCAATCCGTGAAACTCTTGCAACGTTTTAAAGCGAATGTGCGCGGCGCTAAAGCGAGAGCCACAATTTGAAAACCACCCGCCCTCCATCTGTGAAGCTGCTGTCACATTTTTTAAGTTCCAGAGTCATAGATGGTGAGGAAGTCTCAGGCGAAAAGCCCGGTCCGCCCTAAAAACTGGCCTCGGGGTGCGACAGGGAGGAGTTAAAGACGAGGAGGAGGAGGAAGAGAAGAGAAGAAGTAGGAGGAGGAAGGAGGAAGGGGAGGAGGAGGGCAAACAAAAGGGCCAGAGGTCTCTTGGATGCCTCTCGGAAGCCTTTTGGGGTATCTCTTGGGCGCTTCTTGGTGTCCTCTTGGGACGTCTTGGGGGTCTCTTGGCGGTCCTGTCGGGCTCTTGGGCTTCTTGGGTGCCTCGGGGGGGCCTCTTGGGGCCGCTTGGGGTCCTCTTGGGGGCCTCCTGGGGGCCTTTTGGGGGGCCCCTTGGCGCCATCTTGGGGCCGTCTTGGGACCTCTTGGGGCCTCCTGGGCGCTTCTTGGGGCCATCTAGAAGGAAATCCAAAGGGGGCCATCAAAGAAGAGGGGAGCCATCCTGGGCTTCTTGGGGCCATCAAAGAAGAGGGGAGCTTCAATTAACGCCCCCCCCCCGAGAGGCCAAAATGGGGCCAACACCCTAGTAAAACCAATGATTTTGGCTTCCTCGCCGAAGCAGTTTTGGACGCCCTGACCGCTCGCGACCGGCCCCGTCTAGGTCCAGGGGAGGTGGTAGGGGAGGGGTCAAGCTACCAGCCCGCCCGCAAACCGTCTAGCTCACTCCCACCCGCCCTCCCCGCACATAAGTAACACCCGAGTCTGAGCATGTTCAGCTGTGGTCTTTGGGTGGGCAGCTACTGGGAACCAAAGCCGACCCCAGGTGCGCGACGCCTGGGCGAGGTGCGCCACGCGCGCGCGCCAGGTGCGCCGCGTTCGGGGCACGTGCAGAGTGCGTCAGGTGCGCCTGCGCACGTGACAGCACACATCGGGAAACATGTCGGCCCCCGCCATCCTTGACGAAAACGGATGCCCATGTTTGTGTCTGGTGGGCCTGCGCACAGCAGGTCACGCGCCACCACCCCCGCCGTCCCTGTCAAAAACCACCTGGCAGTGATCGCGGGATGGCCGCGCATGATCCAGAATTAGCCGCGAGGTGCATGTTGTATTATTTGTTGTTAGGGATTGTAGCCCTGCGCACAGCAGGGAATATGCTGACACCCCGCCGTCCTTGTCAAACACAATACAAAGTCCTCGCGGGCCTCACGAACCTGACTCAAGACTTTGGCCCAAATTATAGTTTGCATTGTTTTTTGACAGGGATGGTGGGGGGGGCGCATCGGGTTGGCCGCGCATGCTCCAAATGTGGAGGCAGAGTGCAGTTTGTATTGTTTTATGACAGGGATGGTGGAGGGGCGGGTCGGCATGGTGTCGGCATGGTGCCTGGTTGGCCCCCGGTCGCCTGTGGAAGGGGGTGTATTTAAATAAGGAACAACGGTAAACCCTTCCCCGAAGGCTGGGATTTGCCAACACATATGTGCTCGTTGACACACTAACGCTCGCGCAAACACGTGCACGCGCGCGCTCTTGTTGTTTTTAAATTTCCCCCCCGATGTTGAATCATCAGCCGGTCGAAAGCATGCGGGGCGCTCGACGCTTTGCGCACACATATGTTCAGCCTCCACGGCGTCGGAACATCCGATCCTGTGCAAGCGGGACGCAAGAGCTACATGAGTTGCATTCGAGCGTATGTCTAACGAACCCCAGGCACAGCCGTAGGATCCAGGATAAGTGGCAGACGAAGGCGAGCAAACACGAACCACAACATTGAGGACATGGGATTTGCAAGCGACAGCAACTTGTAAAGGGCGGAAAAACACGACAAATGCGAGGCACCAACGCATGGCGTGCAAGCGAGGATAGACGAGAGACACAACATGGGGCAAGGGACGGGCGAGGCCAAGCCAGGAGAGAAGAACGCGCATATAACACACACACACACACGCGCGCGCGTTTCAGCAACGCTGCTGCAGGTCCATCCTGGCTACTGTGTGAGTGCGAAGGAAAGGACAGCTCAGTTGTCCGGCCCTTTCCAGGCTACTGCGTGGCCCGTGGGCATACACGGGTTAAAAACACAGCGGGGGCGACCAGGAGCCAGGCAAATATAAGCAAGCAAGGCGGGGCTCCACACCGCACCTCTCCTCTCCTCTCCTCTTCCAATCTCAGGCCTTACGCGTATTCCCATCCCCGCCCCTCCTCATTTTCTTCATCCTTCCCCGTGTGCCAACTGCCCCCGTGATTCGCAGCGGTGGTACCCCCGCTGAGCGCGGTCCATGTCGTCCGCGCCCAATAAGGTTCGGATTCACAGCTTCCCAGTGCTAAGGGTCATCTGTTACCTCCCCATTCTCCCCCTACCCCCTCCTTCCCGTCCCTATCCCTCCAACACCCCTCTTTTCCCTCTCCTTTCTGTCCCTCTCCCCTTCCCCCTCCTTCCTGTCCCCTCCTCTCCCTCCCTCCCCTGGCCCCCCCCTCCTTCCTGTCCCTCCACTCCCTTTCCATACCCCTTCGCAGGTGCGGCGCACGTGCGCTACCCAGACTGGCGTCGAGAGGCGGCGTATCGGCGGGGCAGTGGCCGCGGCCGCGCGGCCCGGAAGACTTGGTTGCTCTCCGCGGCAAAAGGTGGCAGCGTGCACAGGGTCGGAGGGCCTCGTTGTATGCGCCACGTCGTCTGGCCAGCCACGGAGCCAATGAGCTCGGCAAAGTCATTCGGTGCACAGACGCCCCTGCATCCCACACTTGGGAAGCTGACGCGTCTGCACGGGGTGTGACGTAGGGGGGCGGCCTTCTGAGAAAGTGGGGGGTCCCTCATAGCTTCCCCCGTGTTTTTGAAGAAGCCTTCTTGGATCCCTAGAGGCTCTTCTAAGGATGACCGTGCCTTTGAAGAAGTCCTCCGCCGCCCGTAGAGGAGCACCCCACTCGCACCAACCCCCTTCAACGCGCCGCCCAAGAGCGGAAGGAGAAGGGATGCTTCTTAGAAGTGATGGTCATGTCTGACCTGTTCTGGCACCCGCTGTATCACCGCTGGTCCGAGGCATGTGTATGTGATGAAGCGCTCGGCAAATTGAGGTGGGCAAGCTCGTGGGGAGGCGTGAGTCGTCTTGGGCCGCTCTCGATTTGTTTTCCAGCCGTCTCAGAGCGGTAACCGCATGCCCTGGACAATAAATCATCGCCCCGCTTCCCGATTGAGAGTTGATTATCTCCGCCCAAGACAGAGTTGGTCGGGGAAGAGGGGCGGCAAGGCCGAACTTTATTATCGCGGGGGAACGTTGCGATTCGAAGTTGCTATCTTCTGATGTAGAGTAGCAACATCATCACGTACGTGTTGCAGAGCTATGGGGTTCTCGCAATTTCAGTTTTCCCCAGCCATGAACGTGCG